ATGGTGTATATTCGTTGCACAACATGTTTAATACAGCGCCAACGAATTGCCAGTTGTAATATTTTCCGAACCAAAATTATACTTATAGTTCTTGAAAGCAATCATTTTTCCTTACTTTCTAAAACACAACGTCCATTTTCAAATTTAAGTAAATGCTATATCGAACGAACGAACGACCTTGCACCGTAAGGTGATTTTATTTCAAATATTATCCGTTATCTCAGCGCAATTATCGATTATAACTTATTTTATCGGCGAGTAATGATAAGATGATCGCTAAACTAACAGTAGTACTAATTGCAAACCAACCAAAACTTATCGTAATATTCATACCTTAAATCAAAATAATAATAATAGTTATGTTTAAACACTGAAACGTTTAGCGTTATTTGATGGATACAGCGTGTTTTCTACACAAAACAGAGTGATTGAAAATTATAATATTACAAAATAACCATTACTTAATATGTCGATATTAGTATATTATTTTACGGATGGTTATACTTTATAATTTTTCTATGTTTTTAATAATAATATGTTTCAATCGTTATCGTTTACTGAATGCATTTTATTGTTTTTATATTAATAGACATGGTAACCAAAATGTTTCTCTATGAATTATATTTCTTTGGGCGAAAACCAAATCACTCTTTTTTATGTTTGGGTAAAAAAGGTCATTTGGGCAAAAACCAAAAGGTCGATTTTGGGCGAAAACCGATTCGCCCATAAATAATAATAATAATATTCGGCCAAATACGATCTAAACAATCGTGGTACAATTGTATATGTAATAATATAAGATATGAAAACAATGACAGTAATTACGTGACTCCGTTCCAATACCGATGTGGTCGTTGGCAGGTAACCAATTGACGGCGACAGTCAGGCCACTGGTCAGCTGTTTCTTCTTGGGCACGACGGTATAACAATAGGCAACCAAAACAATGATAGTAAGCTGATAATAGACAGCACTTGCAATTCACACACGTCGACCAATCGGTACACAACGGAAGTCGCGTTGTAATGTTATATTAATTTAGCGATGATCGGAACGACAAAGTCTCAATTCCAAACGAAGACCGCCAGACAGTGTATATATATATTTAAGTTTAACGGAACGCGGAGATCGCGACAACGATATATATATATATATATATATATACGGCTCGGAACGCGAGAGGTGTAAAACGTTTGATTTACAAGCACAAACGCAGCACACAAGACAACCGAACTTGGCGAAGGAAAGGTCTAAGGCTAGCTGAGATGGGACAACATCTGTACTTAATCTTTACGGCTGTTATAATTCCGTAAAGATATATGATTGTGAGGGCCGTTGACCTACTAATCCGTTTTTACTGTCGGGCAATCGATCTCAGAATAGCATATAATAGGGCCATCGACCCCAGAGGAGAGGAGTCGCGATTAGGGCGGCAATAAAATCTATTTGGAGTTATCGCACTCGATAACTTGCGCGAACAGTAACGGACAACGGAACAGAAGACAAAGACGCTGGCTGCGGCGTCCGCATCGTTGCCCGGACCAGGGCGGTGGGCGCGACAGTGTAACCAACCTTGCAAGTGACCGAGCGCAGTCATGAATCAAATGTACAAGATTCGGGGCCAGATAAATTGGGTACATTGGACAATAAGATCGAAAAGTATAAGTTGCATAAAATTTTATAAAATAAAACTGGAAAAATTATTTAAAATATAAAAATATTTATATATTGACATAATTTTGAATTTTCATTTTTTTTTTATTATATCTAATGAATTCCTTGAATCAATAATAATCAGCAAAAAAAAAAAATTAATTAGTTAATTTCCTAATTAGTTGTAAGTATTTTTTAATTGATCAATCATTGGTTCTCAACATTTATCGTTAATTGGTAATTAATAACGCATATATTATAAATTGCAAAAATTAATTATTTATTAAAAAAAAAAAAAAAAAAATACATGGATTAGAATTAAAACACTATATGTAATTATACTTAAGTATTATACTAGGTACAGTCTATAATAAAATATAAAAAAAAATAGTAGTCAACATTTTGTTGTGTGGTATATATTAAAACAAGGTGCTGCGCATAAGCCCACATCACATTCTGTACACATATATCTAGTGTCAGTTCTCTTATTATTCTTCTTGCATAATTGGCATCTTCTTCTGGCAAGCCTTCCAGATTGTGTTGCTGGAACTTCTGATGGAAAATGCCTATCAATTAGTTTTGTTGGTTGGTCTTTAGTGGTCTTGATTTTGTTACACGATTGGTATGATATTTTTCTATTATTTGTCTTATTAGTTCTATTTGTAACTGAGCTATTGGTATATGGTTTCCAGTAACTGTTTTATATGATGAGTAAGCATTTAACAATGATAAATCTATCAAATGGAAAAATATTTTTTTGTACCATTTTATTGTTTTTCTTACACACTCTACACTACTCAGTAACATATTAGTTTTATCCACAGATTCCATATTTTCGTTGTATTCTTTAACACATTTAGGTTTCATTATTATTTTACCATGTTTTTGAATTGGTAACTGTTCATCTTTATGTATTGTGGTAAGCATATGCACCTCTCTCCGGTCCATCCATTTTATTGTTAACATTTTTCCAGTATGTTTACTTTCAGTTTGACCTGATTGAAATTTAGTTTTTTTAAATGGTGGCATTCCTCGACGATTGCATCTTACAGTTCCACAAGTATTGGTCTTTTTTTTATGCAAGTACATTGATAATATTGGTGATGTATACCAGTTGTCAGTATATAGAGTATGACCTTTATTCAAATATCTTTTCATCAATGTTTTTACAACAGCACCTGATTGCCCTAAGTTAGCATCACATGAAACAAGACGTGTAGTTTTTCCAGTGTATATTATAAAATCTAAAATATAGTCTGTTTCTACATCACATAAAATAAAAAATTTGACTCCAAACCGATGACGTTTAGTCCTTATGAATTGTTTAAATGAAAGTCTTCCTTTCCATAACACCAAACTCTCATCTATAACCAGATTTTGAAATGGCACCATAGCAGATCTGAAATTATTCTTTATGTCTTGTAATACCATATCAATTTTGAATAAGCAGTCATTTTTGATTTGATTGTTATTATTACAAAAATGAATGTAACGCAAAAGTAATTGAAACCGATTTCTACTCATGGTTTTTCCAAAAATAGGAGAATTAAGTAGTGGATCTGTAGACCAATAATCTGCAATTTCAAGTTTTTTATTTCTGACCATAAGCATTTGTATTGAAATGTATAAATATAACTCTTCTGATGTAGTGTCATACCAACTTGTATCACGAGATGACATAACATTATTTGATTCAATATTTTGCCTAAAGTATTCATTTGTTTCATAAGCAACTTTGCCCAATAAAAATGGAGTCACAAGAGCTTCAAAAAAATCTAAAATAGTAGAGTTACTGTTCAGTTCAAATTCTTTTTGAATACCACTTTTAGCAGAACAAAACTGGTGAACCTTAGGTTGAAATGGTGTACCAGATTTCCATTTAAAATTTGGAGTAAACATGTCTTTGTTAATTTTTTGAGGTACAAGTACTTTTGGTTGATGTGTTGGAAATGAAACTTCAGTTTCTTCTTCATTATCAGATTGTACAATTTCTTTTTCAGTGTCTGACATAGTTTTATATTCAGCATCATTTTGTTGGAATACAGTGTACTTGTGAACATCACCTTGCACACTTCCAATGTCTTGATTTGAAGCTATTTCTTCTTCATCATCAAAACCTACTGTAAAATACATAGTACAAATAAATAAACAATTTACAGCATATATCAACATGGTATACCTTATACGATATGTTATCATGAACTTATGTATAGTAATTGTTCATAATCGTATACAAAATAATACAATACATAAGTTTATAGGATATATATTTTGTATAATATGTACTATAACGATTTAATAATAATAATTACCGAATAAATCACTAATGAATTCGTCGTCTGACTCCTCATTTGCTATAATTTCATCCAAACTTGCCAATATACATTCATCACTCATAATATGTGACATGATAGAACTAAGTAGAATAATACCGACAACAAAAACACAAGTATAACAAAAATGAATACAAACGTAGTCACTTAGGTGTACAGTAAATACTAAATACGTGATGACTGATGAACGTTTAAAAATTCAAAACATCGAATATTGATAAAAAATTATCAAAACATAAAAATAATGTTAATATATAAATATTCTAATATTTTAAATAATTTTCCACATTTTATTTTATAAAATTGTATGTAACTTATACTTTAAATCGTTTTCAAAATTATATAATTATATAATTGCCCTAATCCTACAAAAATTATATACCAATTATTTTATTTTTTTACATATATTACCTATATTAAATTTTGTTTAGGACGAACAGAGAATTAGTGTTTTTTCAACAAATTTTGTTTTGGTCGAAATGTAAATCGGCCGAAAAGGTAATCGACCAATTTTAGTCGAAAATTATTTTCCAAGAATATATGGAACTTTTTGACTTATTGCCTTATTTTTAACTTTGATAACTTAAAACTCTTGACTTTGTAATAACTTAATCCTAGTTGGACCGATAATTATGTTACATAAAATAAATAAACATTATTTATTATTATAATTTTTCAAGTCCGTACTCACTAAATATCGTTAACTGGAAGTGATGACTTTCAGTTATTTCTGTTAAAATTAACGTTAATTCATTATAATTTCTTACAATATTCTCTATAAGATATAATTCATATTAAAAATATTACTTAAAAAATATGATTTTAAAAGTTAAAATAATGTTGTATTAAACAGATTTTTAATTTTCTAGAATTAGTTTAATCAATTATTTTAGGTTTGTTCAAAAGAAATCAACTTTAATCGCCATAAATAATTATAAAACTTAAATATTATCATAAAAATTATTGGTTTGTTAGGTACTTGGACAAAATTGGATCATTTGCACGTTTTATATACTCATAGTAGTATAGTACGTATATTAATTTTTAAAGTATAATTATTCGCAGCTGATATTTACCTTTATATTTATTCTCGTAATTACAAACAAACCCATCTAAATACAAAAAATACATCGAATGAGGATAATATTACCATGACTAGAGCAGATATTAATCTAATCGTATTGTATTTATATAAATTTTATACTTATACATAACAATTAAAACAAAATATAAAATTTTGATATACTGATTAATTTTAATCATTTTATGGAATTTGAATTATATATATATATATATAATATATAAATAAATAATTTACGGGTAGAGTATGAAAAGCAGGTAGTGTATGGCTATTCATGCCTGTTGAATATTTATAAAATGTTGATTTTGCACATAACCGGGTAATTAATACACTGCTTACCGGCTATCGCTGAATAGTTTAAGTGTTTTGATAAAATACAATACGATTAAATATTATTTGTAGATATTTTTAAAGGTATCTTATGATGAAACTGGTGTATTGATATCTAATAATTTTTAACTTCAATACAGTACTTCAAAACATTCATTTTCTGTCTACACCTGTACAGTTTTATTATTTATAGTTTATTAACTTCAGTTAATAATCTAACCTAACCTAATTAATTAATGAAAATAATGTGAAATTTGGTGTATTTAACATAATTAAAATTGTATGATATATTAGCAAAAATTAAAATTGAAATTAACTAAGAAAAAACAAATTAATCACAAATTTACAAACAATTTTAAAAAGATTTGACCTCATAACTATTATAAACAGATAAATTGATATTTATTATGAAATTTCAGTAGGTACTTCAAACGTATTGTATTACATTGTTACGGACCCTGTAATAATATTGATAATTTATAACACAGGGGCAGGGCCCGTAATAATATTGATAATTTATTAAAATACTTATATTCACAGACCATGTAATAATATTAATAATGTATAACATAAATGAGGTGACACATGCTCCATGTCATAGACACAGACAATGAGAGGCCAGGACGGATGGTGGGTGCATTGTATTATTAAATTAAGTAATTTGACACAACTACACGCCGCGAACTTCTTAGAAAACATCGCAACTGTGAGAAGGCAAGGGTTATCACTTTATCAGAACACTAATCAAGAAGCGAGGGTGCACATGTCATCGTAAGTCACCACCTCCGCTACCGACTCTCGTTGTGAACTGATTATTTATAAGAGAAATCTGAACAAAAGCTCGTCAGACGACGGTTAGGGATATCCAAGACGCTCAGAGGTCGGTCGTAACACCACTCACAATCTTGTTTAGCTCAATTTTTTAAGTCAGATCGTAAAAAGTATCAAAACAACTCCAAGGGATATCATACAAAATGCGAGGCCATGAGTAGTGTCGGCCCAAGACACAGGCGAACCGGGGGGTTGTCTGGGTTGTCTCAAAAATAGTGGCGCCAGAAATGCATTTATAGGTGTTCAAAAAATTTTAAAAACTTAATTTTTTTTTTTTTTTTTAGTTAACAAAGTAATGAACTAATATAAATATATTAATAAAATTATATACATTGCGATTATATTACCACGCACCATGACTACAACTTGGGATACAATGCGACTTATAATCATCGTTACTACCACCGTACCAATTTATCTGACGTCGACAATTATGTATGAATGAACATGTCATGAAACGTATTTTTATTACTATGAAAAAAACTATTCAAAATGAAACTATTTGTATAATTGTAAACTTAAATGAAACACAATATATCTACTAGATCGAGTTCAAAAAACTAAATATTATAATATTATGTTGGATTGCATTCAGGATATTAGTCACGTTGAACAACTTTTTATGACTTTAAAACATTTTTATATCGATAAAAAATGTGCATTAAAGTACATTTTATAGTGTTTGAACCAATAAATGACTCGTCTGGTGAAGGTATTTATGAGATCATAAAATAATGTGTAATTGTAAACTATAATTAAGTAATAATATATGTTAAGGATATAACAACGGGGTAAATATGAAGGGCAAAAATAAAGGCGTATAAGCAAGAATATTATGAACCAATTCTCGATCTTCTTTATGTCATGGTATGATCGTCATTCACTGAACTTAGTTGGATTAGTTGAAGATAGTGTTTCTTGTTCTATTGAGTCAAAAACTTCTTTGAAGCGATTCAAAGAATATACGTATTGTTCTCTGCGTCTATGGATCGTTGGTTTATCTTAAAAAAATACATTTAATCTTCATCTGTTACACCATTATGTGAGGACTCGAGGAAATGTCGAATAGATTATATTAATGCAGTTAAAAATGAAATCTCACAAATAATAGATGCACTGATAGAATTAACTGAATTAATAACAGTGTGTAATAATTAATTATAATATTATAATCTACAATAATAAACTGTGTGAAACAATAAAATTTTTATTTAAGCTACATTTTTAAGGGCGCCAGAATAACTCGGACCAACACTGATCGTGGGCTACAATAACAAGGAACTTATTTCATATATAAAGGAGCCCAGAGAGCAGCAATTTCAGATGTACCATAGCCATTAAGACCTAAACACCTTCAGTCATTTAGCCGCTATATTAAAACTATATATGTACTTTAGTTATATTAAATATATACATATTGTTATTAATTAAAGTTTTAATAATTATTCATTCAAAACACCTAAAATTTGATTGCTGGAAGTGCGCACAAAATACACCGCTCACCAACATCTTTTACTTGCAATGATATACTTTTATGTCTAAGTCTCAAGTTAATAAAGATTTATTTTATATTTAATATATCAAGTATTTTGATTTCTGCGTTGATATATGAATCAATATTGTCGTTGGGACGCAATAACATTATGAACGATTACATTTAAACTTACTACATAGTATATTATACACTAACTATCTTTATTCTCTTTCACTAATATAATATACACGTATTTTTACGTACCGTGTTATATTATATTATTTCAACACAGACGTAGAAAATAATGACATTTTAATTCATAAACAAGAAATAATAGTGGGATTTTTTTTGTGGAAATATTATAAACACTGTACACAACGGTGAAATACTAATAAGTATGTTAAATATAACTGAGGAACAACAGAATATAACAATAAACGATTTAAATAAAATTAGATACGATTATGAGTTCGAATATGATACGCAACCGACAACCGATTAAAATAATAAAACAAACCGCGTAAATAAAATTAAACAATTAATAATTATAAGTGGACATATGGATAGTGAACAAAGACAAACTACTCGTATCTTAGAATTGTGCCAACAATACCAAAATATATTTCATTTAAAAGGGGATATACTAACATACATAGATACGTTAACATATAAAATTAACTTGCTAGCTAATCAACCACCTATTTATAAGAGACTATATAGATTACCACACTCACAGATGGAGGAAATAGATAAACAAATAAAACAAATGGAAAACGACGATATTATTGAAATATCCTTTTCACCATGGAATGCACCTTTATTATTAGTTAAAAAGAAACTTGACGCGAGTCAAGAAGAAAAATTTAGAACAATTGTAGATTTTTGAGCATTAAATAAAATAACAATAAACGAATATCACCCTTTACCTAACATAACAGAAATATTAGATCAACTAGGACAATGTAATTTATTTAGCATACTAGATCTTGCTTCCGGTTTTTATCAAATAATACTCGACGAATCGAGCAAAGAGCTTACAGCATTTTCGACAAATCAAGGAATAAATAAACCTTTTAATGCCCAATACGTACAACATGTTATGATTAACTTACAAAAAATTATGGAGGATTACGGATCCGAAACAGAACATTGCCAGTAACTAGCAGAACTGATAGACATAGTTCCTGAGGCATCTGATCTATTGAAGTATGCAATAAGTAAATGGGGCGTCATTCAATTATGCGAATTACACCGATAATCTGGAGCCTATGAAGGGGGTTAAAGGAATATGCATAATTATGAGTGGCCTACAAATATGAAAAATTAACTTACATTAATTACATTAACAACAATTTTATAACAAAACAATGACCAAAGGGAGTGTATAATTTATATCAAGAAAAAAAATTATATTTAATTTATGTAATAATTTGTATCAGGTTTTAGTTAAAAGTATGTAATTGTTAATTATAAAAAAAAAAGAATTTTTTTTTGTATTTTGCTATGAATAAGAATTATAAAAAAAAGTATATTTTAAATTAATGTATAAAATGAGTGTAAGCATTACACTGATTTAAATGAAATCATGTAATTTTTAGTCATAAGAAAATGTTTTACTATCTAATTGTTAACGATAAGAAAAAATTATTTTACTATGAAATATGTATTCATAATCAAAAATGTAACGAAAAAGAAAAAAAATGTAACCACTAATACCTAATATTAAGATAACATGCAATTTGAATAATTTTAAGATTTCTGTTTCTTACAAAACATAAATCTTTTTTTTTGGAGGGGAGGTGTTACGTACCGTATTATATTATATTATTTCAACACATATTATATGGCGAGGTGATGCTTATACCGATTAAGTTAATATATTCAAACAGTGTAGTACCGGACGGTTAGTGTGAACATCGTACTATTTAATAAAACAATTAAGACTTGATCACACGTCCCGGACTTCTCAGAATAGATGAAATCACAGGAAAGGAGCCGAACTGAATAACAAGTATAATTTAGAGAGCTTCTTTAGGTCATCGGAAGTCGCCAACTCCCCAGTCACCACTTTTGTCAGTTAATCACTTACAAGAGAGACCGCGACAAGAGCTGGGCAGAAAAAAGGTTAAGGATATTCGAGACGCTCAGAGGCAGGTTGTAACACTACTCATGGTCTCGTCTATCAGTATTTCAGAGTTTGGTCGTAACACCGCTCATCCATCTTATGCTTATGAAATTGTATTTTTGTACGAGTTATATGTATTAAAATAAAGATGTTAATTATTTAACTCAAACATTAATATTTCGTTTCTACGTTGATACATGAATCGACGTTGATATCGGGACGCAACAGTATATATACTATTCAAAATTGAATCTTAATTTATATTGTATACGGTTGATTTAAATTTATGTTTGTAAAATTGTAATGACATAATATTGAGTATTGTATTCTTACTTACTATATGGATTATCTAATGTGTCACACTTATTTTCTGTAGTAAAAATAATAACAATGTAAGGTATGTATCAAACTTTTTATCATCTAAAATAAATAATAAATAATTTACGCCTTTAATTAAGGGCAAAATAATTGGTCAAAAATCATTATTTATCAACTTCGAATTCATACTTATTTAATATTAACTTAAATATTTATTAAACAATTATGAACTATTATTTTTCAACATATCCTTGGTATAATTTTTCTATAGCCAATTTTTTTTTACATTATTTAGATGTTTATGTTTTATGAAGAATACGACTACATTATAAAATATAAGTGTTAACTATAAAATGAAAATATTATTTTTTTTTAAATATCAATGACATTTTTACGTATAATGATATTTACTTTAAATTTTAATGGCTATAATTAAATATTTTAACACTTACTTTTGTTTACAGCTTTAAAAATATAAAACAATACTTTTAGATTAATGCATTTTGTTATATTAATTAAATTAATTAATTATGTCCTTTTATATTTTAATAACGTAAAATAAAAACAAAATTAATATAATAATTTAACTAAAGATTAAAATGAATTTCATTTTTTTTATAAAAAAAAAAAAAATGATAAGTAATGACTTATCAATTATGTTTAATTATGTTTAATTATGTTTTTTTTATTTTTTTTTTATTTATGTTTAAATTTACGTTTCAGAAAATTATCTATTTTTTCTTAAGATATCATATATTTAACTGTTTTTTTTTTTTTTTTTTTATTAAACAACTATCCGCGGCGTCTATGGCCATTGGATGTAACAGTACATTATTATCTTAAGTATATTTACATATTACATTAATATTTAAAAGGTATACAAAGTAATTTAGTATTTAAAACAAGACAAGGTAGTATTAATTAGGAGAGAGTTTGAGTGATTAGTATTATTTACAATTTACAGTTTGTTTATAAGATTCGTTTGTTTGAGAAATTGTATGATCTTGTGTATATTGTTGGGGTCCGGGTTGAGTGCTTCGGCGAGGTGGTTGGATATTTGGTATAGCCTTCTTTCTTTGTCGTATACTTTGCATTCGGCTAGGATATGTTTCACAGTAAGGAGTGTTCCGCAACATGTGCAAACTGGGGGGTCTTCCTTCTTCATTAGGTGAGAGTGTGTAAGGTGAGTGTGACCAATTCTGAGACGGTTTATAGAGGTCTCTTGTTTTCTTGAGATGTTATCTTGGGAAGGATACGGTAGGCTGGATCTCTTGATTTCATTAAGTTTAGTTGACATTTCATTCCATTCCTTTTGACAGTGAAGTAATGTATCCTTTTCGATGGCCCTCTTTATGTCGTTGAGGGAGAAAATGGGTAAAGAGAGAGAATTTGGGGATGAGTGAGCGAGTTTGGCGGCTGTATCTGCTAGTTCGTTGCCGTCTATGTTACAGTGGCCAGGGATCCAAGAGTATGTGATGTTTTTGTCCTGTTGTTTTGCTATAAAGTGGGTATTTTGAATTTTTCTGACGATATCAGACGGGGAATACAGATTTTGGAGGCTGGTAAGAGCGGAGAGGGAGTCACTAAATATTGTAATATTGCTATCATTTATTTCAGAAATGGTGAACTCGATAGCCTTGAGGATCACCAGGGTTTCTGCTGTATATATCGAACATTTGTCTGAGAGTTTCCATTGTATTGTAGTTTCATCGCATATGATAGCCATCCCGACTCGCCCTTCGATGGAGGCATCTGTATATATATGAGTTTGTGGGTGGGCGCGTGAGCAAAGGTCTCTGAATGAATTCTTGAAAATGTGGGGACAGGTTGAGTTTTTAGGGAATTGATGTAGGTCAATGTTAATATTCATGCTGAACTGCCATGGGGGGAATAGGGGTTTTTCATATGGGATTATATTTTCGAGGTCATATTTTATGTATGTGTGATTGAATGTATGTTTAGGGTGATGAATTTGATTTTGGGGGGATCTAGATATTCTTGCTGCTAATTTGTGGGTTTGTTCTCTCCACCGTACTTCTAGGGAGGGGATTCCTGCAATATTTAATATGCTTTTGATGGGGCTTGAACGGAAGGCGCCAATGGAGAGTCGGATTCCCGAGTTGTGGATAGTCTCCAGTATTTTAAGTTTAGTGTGTTTCGCTGATGAGAAGATTGGAGCACCGTAATCAAGTTTTGATAGTATGAATGCTTTGTGTATCTTAAGAAGGGTTTGAGATTTGGCTCCCCATGAGGTATGACCTAGGGTTTTTATGATGTTAAGTCTTGGTGCAGTAGTGTTCTTTAGGTTGAGAATATGGGGGATCCATGAAGCTTTATGATCAAAAGTGATGCCCAGTATTTTAACATTGGATTGGTTTTCTACGACTTGGTTTCCGATGTTAATGTGTATTTTCTTCTTATTCCTCTTATGGCTGAAAACTATAAGGTTGGTTTTTTCCGGAGAAAATCGGAAGCCGGAAGTTTTTGACCAAGACGTGAGTTTGTTCGTGGAATCTTGAAGTATCGATTGAATAGAGTTCATGTTTGTACTGCGGCAAAGAATAGTGAAGTCGTCTGCGAATAGTAGAGGTATGTTTGGGCGTGAAATTCCTTCAGATATATCGTTGATAGCGATCAGGAAAAGAGTTACAAAGATAGTGGACCCCTGTGGAACCCCACTTTCTTGGAGAAAGGTGTCTGAAAGCGTGTTGGAGGTTTTTACTTGAAAGGTGCGGTGGTTGAGGAAATTCGAGATGAAATCTAGCATGTATCCTTTGGCAATAATTTTGTTGAGTTTATTTAATATTCTGGGTCTCCACGCCGTGTCATATGCTTTGACTATATCAAAGCTGATCATTTCCAGGTTTTGTTTGTTGTTTAAGGAAGAGTGAAGTTCATTTTTAATGGTTAGAAGGTTGTTCATTGTACTTCTATTACATCGGAATCCATTTTGTTCGGGGGAGAGAAAGTTGAGGTTTTCAATAAACCATATAAGTCGACGATTGACTATTTTTTCGAGTAACTTACATAAGGTGTTAAGTAGACAGATGGGGCGGTAGCTTTCTGCTTAGAATTTATTTTTGTTAGGCTTGAGTATGGGGATAACATAACCATGTTTCCAAGATTCAGGGAAGACGTTACTATCCCAAATTAAGTTGTAGATGACTAAGAGGTGGTTTAAGATGTTTTTTGGGAAGTTTTTTATGAAGGAGTAGGGAATCCCATCGGGGCCAGGAGATTTACTTTTACAGTTGTGGAGGGCATCTTCAAGTTCCTCGATCTTCAGTGGAGAGTTGAGTAGGGATTGCTGGGAGTCGAGAGGATCTACTGTGTTGACTGGGTCGTCATAGCATTGCGAGAAGTTTAAGAAATCTTGGTCATAGTTAGCATTGCAAGAGTTTTCATGGAATATACGTCCCAGAGAATTGGCTACGTCATAAGGTGATGTGGAGAGTTTTGAGTCTATAAGTAGATTTATGACGTTAGATCTATTGGTCCCTTTTATGGATTTGATTTTTTTCCAAACAATGGAGGAGTCCGTTTGGTTATGTATGCTGGACACGAAGTTTTTCCAACTTGAAGCCTTGCTGTTTTTTACGAGGAATCTGGTACGTGCTTTGCATCTTTTGAGGGCGATAAAATCTTCTTGGGTCTTGGAGGTTTGAAATGTTTTTAGTGCTTTGTTTTTGATTTGGATGGATTTTTTAATGTCATCGTTCCACCATGGTACTCTGGGTCTATGTGTAATCTTATTTAAAGATTCGCCTATGGACATTTTAGCAGTATCTTGAATAAGGGCGGTAAAGTTTGCTACATCAGTGGTGATGCTCGTTCTGGAAGGAGGAGGTAAATAGGGGATATTTACCTCCAAGGTAGATGAGAATAGATTCCAGTTGGCGTTTTTTATTTTCCACATAATGGGGTAATTAAGGCGGGAACTGTCCAGCGGAAGGGTGATCAATATTTCTATAGGGATATGATCGCTGCTATATATATCAGGGAGAGTGTTCCATTCTAGTTTGTGAGACAGGGAAGCGTTGGCGATGGATAGATCTATAGCAGACGAATGTCCGTTAGAAGGATTTATTCTGGTGGGTTGGCCATTATTTAATATAATAAGACTGTCATTTGAGAGTAGCTCTTCGATTATTCTACCTCTGTAGTCGGTTTTATACGAACCCCAGGTTTCGCTGTGGCTGTTGAAGTCGCCCACAATTACAAACGTGTTGGGTAGTTGTTGGGTGATATGCTCTATATCGTAGAGTGTAAAATCTTTTTGGTTGGGTATATAAATGTTACACAAAGTTAAGGTTATGTGGGGAAGTGTGATTGAGAGTGCTATGGCTTCTAAGTCAGTGTGGAGTGTAATTTCTTCGGTGGGGAAATTGTGGTTGACCAGAATAGCGACTCCTCCGCTCGATCTATTGCATATATTTCTGTTTTTTTTGAAAATGTTGAAGTGGAGAAGTGAGGGATTGCTTTTAGTATTAAAATTGGTTTCTTGTAGACATATAATTGTAGGGTTGTGGTCTTTGATTATTAGTTGGAGTTCTTCTAATTTGTTGTAGAACCCATTTATGTTCCATTGTATAATGTTAGCTGACATGTTAATTGTTTTTAAAGATAGGATTTTGCTATTGTATTGCTAGGTTGTGATCAGTAAACTAGGCGAGGGGTGGTGATAAGTACTAAGAGTGAGCTGATTGGGGTTGTGGAGGATGTTAATTGTCTTGAGGTGGTGGAAGTGCTTGGAATAAAAAGTTGGCCAGTCTGGTGAGTTGACCTTTGGTGGTACGTTCGGTGACTTTGGGACGTATTGAATCGATCAAGAGCATAAGCGATGTAATATCCGAGTTGATGTCTTTACAGATATTGTGGATATTAAGATTTTTGTTGGTATAGTTCTCCAGTACGTATTTGAATTGGTGTAACGAAATGGGTGAGTCCTCGGAGAAGATGTCCTCTGCTGGTTTGAGCCCATCTGATATTTTGTCGGCTATCTTAGATGAGGAGTTGGAACGGGATCTATCTACTTTAGCTTTTTTGGAACTATTCCTGCTTCTGTCGGCGTTTAAGTTTACCTTAGGGGGAGAGGCAGGTATTGTTAGAGATGAATTTTCGGACAAGGGTCTTTTATGAGGTTCACGAAGTGCATTGAAATTTATCTCGTTTTTTTCGTCCTGGTTGTGAGAGGAGGACTGAGATGTATCGTTGGTTTGATGGTCTTCTGAGATTCTTTCCATTATTTGGAGGGGCATGTGTAGAGTATTAGGATTTTCTTTTGAGGATGGGGAGGATATATTAATTTCTGGAGTGTTTATGTTAGTATGAGGGTATGAGCTAGGTTTTTCCAAAGGAGGTTCTTCCACAGGTTCAGGTTGTATGGGTGGAGTAGTGGTTTGGGGATTGACATTAATTTTCTTGCAATTGATAGAGGTGTGACCAGTAGATTTGCATAAAAAGCAAGTGATTTTATCGTCAGTAAAGAATACTCTATATTCTGTTTGATTATGGAGTAATGGTAGAGATCCGGGGAGGTTTGGAGATTCTTCGTGTTTAATAAACATTTGGCGGCGGAAGCTTAATATGTGTTCATATCCCTCAATGTTGATACCTGCTTTGAGGTATGCAATCTCGGATACAGGGATAACGTTGATATTTTTAAGCGCATCGAGTATGACGTGGTTGGGAATAGAGGGGCAGACATTAGAAATGACAATCCTCTTGGCTGGGTTTATGAGTCTGCGTATTTGTATTATCTGTTCGTTAATTGTAATTGTTTGAGTGGCTTCTAAGAGTGCGTCAAGTATTTGCTTGCTTGAGAGAAAAATGCAAAAACGGTTATTCGATATGCGGGAAACAAATACAATGTTCTTTGGCGAGATTATTTTGCCTATGGCGACAATGTATTCTCTTTGAGGTATGCCGTCAATAGAGTTAAACACTAGTGCTTGTTCTCTACTAGGAGAGTTTTCATTAGATGCCGCGGACGCATAATTGCGGTTTGTGTTATGTGTTGTGGTGTTGGTAGTTATTGCTTGATTGTTGATATCGCTGATAGCGGTAGACGTTGATGGCAGAAGTGCTGGTGCAGTCGGAATAGGAGTGTGAGGTGAGGTGGTGGAAGTAGGGGTTTTGGGTATCTTTGAACGATTAAGAAGAGTGGTTTGTGAAATGTATGCATTTGTAGGTTTGGTTATTTGTGTTGCATTGGTTTTAATACTGGGTTTATTAGATATCGGTTTGCTAGTGACCGACGATAATGACGGTCTGCCCGTCTTATTAACATTGCTCATTACGCGATAAGGAGGGAATTACATAATAAGATTATATTACCCGTATACTTGTGTCCAACGGTGATGTGCTATCGGGAGCTTATAAATGCGCACTCGCGAAAAGTAAACACGTGCTACACGGTCGGCTGTTAGACACGTACTGATATTTAACTGTATTTATGACTTATATATACACTATGTTATCTAATAAGTGATTACAAATCCATTAAAAAAAAAAAATTAATGTTATAAGCATTCCTTAAAGACCAAATGAAAATAGTTTTCAAATCAAACAAAAAGAAAGTACGAATAACTTTAAACTAATATTTTTCAACGTATTAATTATTACATTAACTTTTTAACATAAATAATTCACTTACATATATGTCTTTTAAAACTAGCTAAAATGTATATAGTATTTTTAATTAGAGTTTTTAATACCAATGAATTTAAGGTTGGTAGCAACAAGCAATTTTAAAATTTTAAAATTTTTCTTTTTTATAACAATAGCAACAATTCATATTATAATTAAATTATTCAATTATCGATATTAATTTATATTATATTTTTATTATACGATACTATGTATTTTTTTCTTTTTTTAACTCTATCATCTTAAATAAAGTTATGTATTTAAAAGATGAATTCCTTCATTCATGTTTTACCCCTCTTTTCAAAACCACTTTTTTGAAACAGATTCCTTCTAATTATCGTACACTAAATTCATTCTCTTCTCATTTCGTCTAAAGACTAAAATTAAAATACATAAAAATAATGTTTTATTTTACTCGTTGGTGTAATAATAAACGAATTCTCTATTATTTTCTTATACCTATTTATTGAATTGTTTTGTGTACGGGACCAGTTTCAAACAATGTCCACTAAGCTATATTATTATTATTAATATCTGAAGATAATTTATAAATTAATTAAAAAATAAAATACATTTTACCAAATTTTAATACTAAACAGTTAGAAGTAAAAAAAAAATATTAAACAACATTTAAGAATTATTTCTGTGTAAATCTTCTTTTTCATACCTAATAAATGCCCAAAAATATTACAAATATTACAAAAAATAAATAAATAAATATGAACCACTAATTCTAATTCCCCGCAAATCGAGCTACGGTATCAAGCCAAATTATTTTTATTATGTACTCATTATTTAAATAGACGAAGAATTTCTATACTAAACATAATACATTGTTTAACATATTTATATCAAATAATATTATAATCAAATGATTAGCATGTTATTATACCGTAATTTAAAACTATTATATACTTTTTCATATATTTACATAGAATTGAAATTATTCGTCTTAGACATTTTGGCTTTACTGATTTGGCGTGAAGTTGTAAATGGTTTTAATTAAATCAAAAGTATCTAATTAAAGTAATTTACAATTTTTCAAAAAAAAAAAAAAAAAATGTGTATGAAAACATATATGAACATTATTATTGTAATGAAATTGTTTGTGCTATACATCAAATATGTTAAAATAGTTAATGAATAATGATGTATCTGATTCTTAAACGATTTTTAGTAATATCTTATTTTTGTAATAATTTTTTTTTTTTTTTGTTAAGAAACCCAAAGGATAGGATTCTAATTGAAATATATCTCTTTTCTAGTTCTACTCGTGTTTAATCATGTTAAAAATGATCCTAATGTGGAATGAACTATTCCCATTTCAAAATAATTGATCTTCGTTTAACAGTCTCTAAACAAATGTTTTTCTATGTATACCAACTAAATATCATGGGTTCATTTGAATTCTAAATCTTCATTAGCATCTGTTTTAATATAATAATCCGCCATGATTATCTTTAAACTATTTAAACAAGAGTTGTCTGAAAAATATGTATTTAACTTTTCAATAGTTCTATTTTTTTTAACATACATCATGTTGATACAAAAAATGTAATTTCTATTCAAATTTTAAATATTTACACCTCACCTCAGTGGTTTTTCATTAAAACTACAACCTTAAAATATCCCACTTTGTATTATTCTTATATTTAAATATATAACATATCTCAAATTACTTAGCTTAGAATATTTACATAGCCTCTTGTATATTTATTATTATATTACTTACGTATATAGAATTTATTCATGACACTATCTGAAAATAAAACACATCTATAAATGAAAAAAAAACATTCATCATATATGCATAGGATCACCGAAAGCTACTTCATAGATCGTTCATTTTAATACTTATCAAGATCAGTTGCTGTAGAAATCAAATTATCCTGTGGCATTCTCTAAGATTTCACTGAGAGACCTATGCTATGGATTATGTCCCATACTGTATGACAATTTATTTAACATCTGGTTACCACCTAGAGGTACCTTACAATTGTTTGCCGATTATATACCATTATTAGGTAAGACAAAAGGGATTATGAAGTAGAGAGTCCACTCTAGATAGCTGTGATTTGGATCAAGGCATGCCTCTTTTGTATCACACTGGGACTTAAAGATCACAAATTTAAGACCTAAGTTATCAGTAACAAAAGAAGACATAATTACATCGCATCGTTATTGGGTAATATACTAATGTTGCAAAAACCAAATAAGTACAGTAGAATCTCGGTAATCCGGCCGTTCGATAATCCGATACGTCCAGTAATCCGGATGTATTAACCTATATGTACCAATATGTATTTATATAAACATTTACTATCGTAAACGATAAACCGTTAGATAAATCTAAGTAATAACAGATCTAATCCTAATAAACAAAAAGAAAACTGCTCTCAACCTAAAAGATTTTTAAATCATTTTTTAATACGAGTAAAAATGTAAAATTCAATAAGTAAAAATGCATTTTTTTGTGAACTCCCCACTAATCCGGCATTTTCGTTAATCCGGCAGTAGCGTAGTCTATTATGTGTCGGATTATCGAGATTCTACTGTACTATGTTTTAAACTAGATCCCTTAACCCTGGGTAAACGGTACTTTCGATATTCTTCTAAAGAATTGTTTAATTTCAATAATATTGAGCAGTTCTTAGCCAGTAGAATATAGATAAGTCCATAAATATTAGCAATACAGTATATGGTATAAACATGCCTAAATAACCAATTAAAAATCTCTACTTAACTATTAAAACCCTGTTGTCAAATTTCATCTCTGTTTAAGTCCACACAAACTTTTATATTTTGATCAGTTATTAAAGTTGACAGTACTTGATTGCAGCAAAGAGATTTCCAACGCTATGTTTTTTTCCAATTATTTTTGACTAGGTCATCAAGCAAGTAAATGTCGATAAGGTTATTGTTCAAAATGTGATAAAAAGCATAAAATAAAATTGCATGATAATAATAAGGTTACTAAAATATCAAATGAATTAACGTATAACAACACTTCATCCATGTATGACTAATGAAAAATTCCACTATATTAATGTTGGTATCATTTATATTTGTGATAAAACTGGAATGCTACAATAGTGTCGAAAAATACTTTTCTCGAAAGCTTACATTTTTTAAAATTAAATTATATTACATAATATTTTATTTATATTATTACTTCAATCTCATTAACCGCTTTGAGCAAACAGATTACAATTAGTTATTACAAACAGTATCCATAGTTGGCTTGGTTAAACATCAATAACTGCATAACGTTCCATTTAAATCATAATAATATCTTCCTGAGATTACAGTTATATGTCAGAAGTAACATTCTATTCATTTCCAACAGTTTCAAGCAATTTACCATCTCAAATACCTCCACAGTCCAGATATACATACCTAAATATATAGAATATATACAAAATTATCTAACAGATTTCAAATTTTACAACACATATTTAATAGACTGTCTTCTTAGAATACTTCACTGTTTACAATACAAGAAATGTTGGATTATTTTTGGTGAATTGTATGAAAAAGTTCAATACAATAATATGCTTTCACTTTCAATTTCAAAGAACATTATTCAAGTTATTTTGACAACCAAGACTAATGAGCGTAGTTAAGAAAAACAGGCAGCTAAAAATAATTTAGCTTCAACGTTATACCGTTACAAAACTTATCATTTTATAGTGCAATTACCATTAAGTCGAAATCCATTTTTACGACATAAAGATGATTTTTCAATCTAAAGCAACAATTTACTAAAGACAATGCCCTGGAAAGGAATGCACAGCACTCACGCTAGAATATCCGTCTATGGGTCATATGAAAACAATAAAGACTGAGTGTATAACCTCCGCCTAATCTATAATCTACCCACATGTTCACATAATACAGTGACCAGAAATAATAGTGTCATTGTTAAGATCTGAGTGATCTTTGTTAGTTTTGCTTCAACTAATCAAAGTCGATAAAAATAAATCTGTCAATAATTTATTACACAGAGAATAATGATACCTAGCCATTTTAGTCGAATATCATATACACGCTGTAGCCATCACTGTTGATTAGGCAAAAATGTACAAACAGGTAACACTCCATACAAATTATAAAAATCTGTAACGTTTTTGCTTTAGAAAAAGTTCTTACAGACTATGTACTTATGAAAAAAAATTCCTCTTTTTCTTTGCTACTCTGTGTTAAATGCAGTATTTAACTTTACTTAATTAATACATAACATCTATTAGCACGTAGGATTATAATTTTGATTTTGAAATTAAAATAGATATATTTCATGAGTATATTACCTTTATTAAGATTTTCGCAGAGGCCTTTATTTGTTAATCCACCTACACAAATTATTCTTTATTATAATTCATATCTTAAAAATTAGATAGATAAAAAAATAAATAAAATAGTGAATCTGTTTGGAATACGAATAATAGAAACTAAAAATACTTTTACGGAGTTTGAATAAAAAAAAAAAGAAAGATTTTAATTGTAACCATAAATCAATTATTCTACATTATTTAATTATGTTTTGCTAATCACATTTTTACAAGTTTTAATATTTTTAAATACATGTTATAAATTATAATATATATCTATAATAAACTTAATTACCAATTGGACAATGAATTATTTCTCCATCAATTATTTTGAAACATAACCATAAAAGTATCAATGAGATATACATAGCGTCTATAAAATTACAATTCTTTTAACTCAGTGGCCATTCAAATAAAATAGATAATTAATTGAACTTATTTTAAATAATGTGATTCATCGATGTGAATAGCTGTGACGCAAATGCAACAAAAATTGAAGTTTCAATGTGAAATGCTATCTTTTGTCTTTGCATGCCACTTGTATTATACCCGATACAGGTGTGATGTATTTGCTTTTAAGTCATTATGTACATTATTATTTTACTTGTGTAATTTATACATTCATATGAAATTTTGTATTAAATAAAATTTTTCGGTTAAAAACTTTTAAATTTAAAATGGTTAAGTTCAAATATATAGTTTTATTTTTCATAAAATAGATATAGATATAGTTACTTATGCTATACAAAAAACTAAAGATACAAATACAAATAATATTATAATTACAATTGTTTTGAATTGGTCATAAACGAAGGTATCAGCTTGTTGCCAATGATGATGGTGGTGTAGATAACGGCAGCGGAGGGAGTGTACGCAACGTCAGTGGTGATGACGGCAGCAAAGGCACAAAGTCGTCGGCCATATGGTGACGATGATAGCAAGCATAGGTACGACACACGTCCGGTGAAAAAACAAAAACAAAATATAAAACAAAATATAATACAAAAAAAAACTGAAAGAACAAAAAAATCAATACTTGAACGCGAATCGGTTATAATTTAATAAAATAGTTTAAGACTTGTTTAGCTATACAATATAATAGGGGTTAACAAGCTATGTACGCAAGCCACATATTATATTATGCAATTAAGTCAAGAGCTAAATTATCTTATATGTAATTTTATACCACAGAAATAATAAAAATAGCTAATATCCAATAACACATATTAAATTACGAAATATGAAATTATTTGTTAAAATAGTCTGTGTTGAATAGTCCTGTTGTAAACACTTAAATTTTTTATAAAATATTCGTAACATTTTACCAATACTTATTGCAAAAGTTATTTACGATGTCAATTTATAAAAAATCGGTTAAACGTAAATATAAAGAAAAAAAACGGAAATTTAAATTAAAATGGGAAGAGTTATACTATTTCATACAGAAAAACGATAAACCATTTTATCTCATTTGTCAACTTTCATTATAACAGTTTAAGGTCAGTAATGTAAAACGTCATTACGAAACCAACCACAGCACATTTAGTCGAGAATTTCTTATCGGTTCCCATTAAAGGCAAAACGAGCTATCTTCTATGAAATTAAAATTTGCTAAACAAACTAATGTTATGACAATGTTTATTAACGAGGCAGACGATAGTGTAGAAGCAAGTTTTGTAATTGTCTTTAATATTGCTCGACTTTAACGTACATTATACGTACGACGAGTATAAAAAAAATAAAAAAATATTTTAGATGTAATTTCTGTTTTAAATCCTGAAAATCAAAAACTTTTAAAAAAGGTTAAAAATGTACTAGCATCATAAGACATACAATAGAAAGGCGTATTTCAACAATTAGCTTTGATATTTTCACTAATTTAAAAAACAATATTGCTAATTGTTTGTCTCTTAGTCTAGCTTTAAATGAATCTACCGACCGAAGTATATCTTATTCAAGATAAACCTCAAATAGTGTAACGGGATGCCGTTACTGATTCACTTCTTATTTTGTAATACCACCCTCTTCAAATAATTTCTAATAGTACAAGCGATCGAACAGCATAGGATCACCGTATGATCGCTCATTAGATGGCGCGATTGTTCGGGTGCTCTGCGACTGTCCGCCATTGTACATATTAATTCTATCTATTTAAATCATATCTATAATCATATCTATAACCATAATCTTTCATATATCAAATATTCTACTTACTCTCAATACATTTCACAATGATCTAATCTCTCTAAAGCCTATTGAATTTTTACTATTTTCATACTACTTCACAGCCGTGGTCTGTCGGCAAGTCCGTGAATACCGGTCGTGGCGACGGACAACGGTACCACAGACTTCCTAAACTCAGAATAGCTAGCGACACGTTTAGGTCATCGAACTGGCAACGACCCAGCTGCGTTGCAATATGTACTGTTTATTAAGAGTGAGAGATACAAAAATTTACCCCTATAATATACTATTCACTGGCAACGACTCAGTTGCATTGCAAGACGGTGAATAGTATATGCCTCGCTTACCGTCCACTACATACCCTTTACTAATTGGATTCACTCGGACATAATACTCGTACAGGTCATTCATTTAATAATTGTATATATATATATATTTATTCATTTCCTTTGAATATATGTTTATATGTTTTCTTATTTATTTATGTTTATGTACTGTTTTACAACTATCAGTTTATATTTCTTTACTTAAATAAAATATTGTATTCTATATTTATTAAGCAGAAATTCCATTAAACAAAATTATGTGCATTTCGGGTGGAATACGATTGCGTACGCTGCTTATCGGCGTATCTTTTTCAACCTTTTTCATAACACGATTGCGTATGTTATTTTTGTGCAACGTTGTCACGTTGGCCAAAAGTCACATATAGATAAAACTGGAAATATCAAATGATTATCGTGATTATCATTTAATAAAAGTTTTCACCACTTATAATCGCTGTAAATTGTATTAGTTGACCGACGAACGTTCTAAAAGTAGTATAAGTAGTATAAGTGTAGTATAATTGTGTAATTTAAGATGGAAAATGAAACTGTACAAATAATTACGTCGAAACGAGGCAAAGACTTGGCATTGGTTGGTACAAACAAATATCGTTTTATAAGACAACGAAAAGATGGGTAAATTGTGCACGCATAAAACATGTTATGTCAGTATATTATCAGACAGTAACCGTTCAAAAGTATTATCAATGTTGGGTGAATACAGTCATATTTTAAATACAATAGAGAAAATTGAATTCCAAATTTTACGAGAAAATTGTAAGTAAAAATATGGCTCCATCTGATTTAAAACGGACTAAAGCTTCAATTAAAATGTATGATCAATATAAAATTGACAAAAATAATTTATTATAATGTATCTATCTGAAATTGGCTCTGTTTATCAAGGAAAACATTTATTTTAATTTTTATATATTTACGTGATTTATATTATTTCTTATATATTTTTGAACTTACTTTTATATTACAAATCATTGAAATATATGTATACATTGTGTATACATACACGGTGAACTTTTTGTATATTTATAGATTGGCAACGTTGCATACGCAATCGTGTCGTTTTAGGGGTGTCCATTGTTATACAGCAAACATACGCAACCTCTCCAAAAGGTAAATCGTATGCAATCGGGTTCTACCCAGCATTTCAAATGATGGAGCTCCTAGTATCAATGGTGGGTTGTAAAAATGGTTTAATAGAACTTTTAAAAAATGATACCAATTTCCCAGATTTTATACCTATTTATTTTATTCTACATAAAAAAACATTTCACTAATAAATATTTTAAATACGATCATGTAATGGATGTTGTTATAAAAATTGTAAATTACATAGGTCAAATGTAAAAACACATCGTCAGTTTAATAACTTCCTAGAAAACAAAGAAGATGATAGTTCTAATGATGTTCCATGATATTGTCTAGTTAGACGGTTATCAGTCAATAACATTTTAACCAAATTTTTTCAATTACTAGAACCGATTAAAATATTTTTAACAGAAAAAAATAAAAGTTTTCCTCAACTTTCAAATTCAATTGGTTAAGAGATTTGGTATTTTTCATCAACATCATGCAACATTTATCAATGTTAAATGTATCTCTTCAAGGTCAAAATAAATAAATTAATGACCTGGGGCAAAAAGTATTGAGTTTTAAAAATAAACTTAAAAAAGATTTAAAATTAAATAATTTTACTCACTTTTCATGTTTAGAAAAAATTGAACAGTGTTTGATAGAATTAGAAATGAAAATTAATTATGACGACTATGTACTTAAACTTGATTTTCTATTTGCCGAATTTAAAGAACGATTTCGAGACCTAAAGGCATTGAAACCCTTATTAGGATTTTTAGAAAATATTAAAGAACAAAAAAAAATTGATTTGTTTTTGTAAATTTTATTGCGGGCCGCATACGACTATAACAAGAACCGTATGCGGCTGGCGAGCCACAATTTTGCCATCCCTGTAGAACTTAATTTATCAGAGTTCGTGTCATCAACGATGATATTAAAGATGTAGACGAACGTGACTACGATGGCACTTACTGTGCTAGTGTTGTATCATTGACGGTCAACAAGACTAAGCCATAATCAAGAAAACGCAAGAACGTAAAAAATGTGCAAACTGCGTCAAACAGAATAATATTAATGAACAAATTAAAACATTCGGTGTCGGAACAAAACCAAAACGTCAAGATGGCGACGGACGTTAAAAGACAAAAAATGCGACGCGTCAAGACGCCTAACTAACGACCGGGCCATCGTCCGAACTGTACCAGGGGGAGTGGAGGGAGCGCTCTCTTCCAATATGACCACCGCCACGTTTACAAGGCTAGCAAGGCGATCACAATTAATCGGGGCACAAACAATGTCAATATTATTATATGAGGTGATACTTTCTTCGTTATTCTAACAATATGCAAAACTAGATATTATAGAAAGTACAGACATTACATATTAAAACGGATGAAGAAATTATCATTCTATTTCCTCATAATTACACAAAATAAAGATATTTCTAATTTGTAGGGTTCTATACTCCTATGTTTAATTTAATGTTTTCATATTTTGTTATAATATAGTTATAAGGATTATCCCTATTTATATACACTAAAAAATCAACTAGGTAATTGAGTAATATCACTGTTTCTCCAAGAATATTGTGTAAAAATACTCTACTTTAGCTCAAAATGAATCAATAATTTGCAAAAGAATAAAATTATCGTCAAAATACATCATATCATATCGTCATAATATTAATTAATATGTAAAAATGTAAATCGATTTATTCAATACCAAGGCTTACAAACATTATATTTGACAAACAAACGATTGGAATTTGTAAACGTAATTATAACGGAAAACGATAAACATAAATAATTAAA